AGTTGAGCTGCCATATCAAGTAATTTTTTGTGAAGCTGAAAAATACTTATTGCCGCTTCTTTTTCTTGGTTTGCAATTATTGCAATTACATATAGTGGAAATTTTGGGAGAGGAATCTATAATAATTAATAAGTATAATAATAATTGAGTTTGGTTTTTTATTAATAACTATTTTATTTATATATTTACCTGCAATAAGTAAACATGAACTTGAGAAGCAATAGCATTACAAGATTTAATTATGTCTACAATTTGATGCACATCTTCATATGTAGAAACTCTCGTTGATTCTGTTGAAAGCGTTGAACCAACAATACAACCAAAAACCAAGTCTTTCCTTGATCTTAGTATTGTCCAACATTGCAATAATTGGTCCTGCATACTCAATTGTATCTACAAGTCTTTTAACTCGTGCTATATTTTTAAAACATAATTCAGAATCATGAAGAGTGTAAGATGAACATGTACGATGTAATCTTAGAAAAAAAAAATATTATATTATAAGTTATAATTATTTAAAAATAAAATAAAAATATTAATATACTATCTAAATTTTGCCAGAAAATATTATATGCTTGTGGACTAAGACTTGCAAGTATAACTATAAAATCAGAAAATTGATCTGAATATTTAAGATTTTGAAGTTCTTTTTTACATTGTTCTCGATCTGCAATTTGAACCATTACATTATATAAGCCTTCAAACACTTTTTTATTTTTAAAACTACTGTTTCTGCCTATTTTTGCTAGTTTTATCCAAAAAGAATTTTCATTGTTTGTATTGCTATTATTCGCTAAATATAAAAGATTACCAATATCTTGATTGTAGATATATTTAGCAATTGGATTGCTTCGAAGTTGAATTTTTGGCATAAATTTTTTTTTAGAATTTTGTATATCTTGTTTCGTTACAGCATTCTATATATAGTTTAAATTAAATTTTACTAAAGTTTATTATTATTAATTATTAAAAATCATATACATACTTTGAAAACTTGATTATTTTGAACTTCTTTACAATAATCGCACAAGCGAGAAGAATTAATAGTATATTGCTCACATAAAACAGATCATACTACTAAACCTTCAATTTTCTATTTTAATTGCCGAATTATCTCATTATCCAATAATTGTAATTCATTTTCGAAAAGTTGTTTATATTTTACAGCTTTGTCTAGAGAAAATTTTTTTGAAAAAAGTTCTCGAGCAATAACCTCTCTTCTGGGTGCACCACTATAAGTAGTATGAGCGAATACTTGGTTAATATAAGCTTTGTAAATTGGACTATCTAATTTAGTACAAGTATATCGTTTTGTAATAGGCTGATTCTCTTTTAAAGTTGGTGAAAAAAAGTTTAAAATTGAAACAACTCCATTTTGAAGCTTGCAACCACTACCATCAGTATGATTTTTAAAATAAGCTTCGTCATAAGCTCGTTTAAGTTTAATTGTTTTTTCATGCTTGCATACCACAATCAGATATATGAACTACCATAGAATTTTTTAATAGACGTTCTCTTGTATACTTTACTATTTTTGAAATTTTTAGAAACACGTACTACACGTAGATACTATTTTATTATTAATTTAACCAAATTTTAAATATAACCTTACACAAGTTATAATATGTTTATCCATTTTTAATAATATAACATTAATAGTTATTATTCAGTTTTAAATGTAACCTTTAGAGCAATAACCGGTTTTCAAATATAACATTTTTGTAAAAAAAGTAATGTTTTTAACCAAAATTTCAATGTAACCTCTATATATATTGTTTGGGGTCCTACCAGTGCAATGCATTGCTAGTCTATGATTAGCCAATCATAATCTAAATTAGCAATCATATGATTTTCAATCTATTCTTGAATCAGATCTTTAGCATCTTTGGTAATAGCTCTTGGAGAACCTTTTCAGAATGCATCATGATCAACATTTTTTTTTTTGCTATCTTCACTCAAAGTTAAAAAAATCAAAGTGTCTATCAAAATATCTATATCAAATTTTTTTTAAAACTTTGAGTAAAGATATCTCCACAACCACATGATCAAAATCGATAAAAATTTTTTTATTTGAATTCTATAGATTCATAGAATTCAAATAAAAAATTTTAATGAATTTGGTTCTAGTAGTTGTGGAGATATCTTTGCTCAAAGTTAGAGAAAAATCAAAACACCTATTAAAATAAAAGTTGTACTAAATTTTTTTTTAAAACTTTGAATAAAAATATCTTTACAACTACCTGACCAAAATCAATAAAATTTTTTTATTTGAATTCTATAAATTCATAGAATCTAAATAAAAAATTTTTAGAGAATTTGGTTAGGTGGTTGTAGAGATATCTTTGCTCAAAGTTAAAGAAAAATCAAAATGCTTATTAAAATAAAAATTGTATCAAATTTTTTTAAAACTTTGAATAAAGATATCTCCACAACCACCTGACCAAAATCAATGAAATTTTTTTTATTTGAATTTTATGAATTTATAGAATCTAAATAAAAAAAATTTAGCAAATTTGGTTAGGTGGTTGTGGAAATATCTTCGCTCAAAGTTAAAGAAAAATCAAAATGCCTATTAAAGTAGAAGCTGTGCCAAATTTTTTTAAAACTTTTGAGCAAAGATATCTCCACAACCATCTGACCAAAATTGATAAAGATTTTTTTATTTGAATTCTATGGATTTATAGAATTCAAATAAAAAAAATTTATCAATTTTTATCAGTTGTTGTAGAGATATCTTCATTCAAATTTGAAGAAAATCAAAATACTATCAAAGTAGAAGCTGCACCAAATTTTTTTTAAACCTTTGAGCGAAGATATCTCCACAACTACTTGACCAAAATCAATGAAATTTTTTTTATTTGAATTCTATAGATTCATAGAATTCAAATAAAAAAAATTCATCAATTTTGGTCAAGTAGTTGTGGAGATATCTTCATTCAAATTTAGAGAAAAATCAAAATATTTATCAAAGTAGAAGCTGCGTCAAATTTTTTTTAAATCTTTGAGTATAGATATCTCTACAACCACCTAACCAAAATTGATAAAAATTTTTTTATTTGAATTCTATGGATTTATAGAATTCAAATAAAAGAAAATTCATCGATTTTTATCGGGTGTTGTAGAGATATCTTCGCTCAAATTTGGAGAAAATCAAAATGCTATCAAAGTAGAAACTACCAAATTTTTTTTAAACTTTTGAGCAAAGATATCTCTACAACCACTTGACCAAAATCGATGAAATTTTTTTTATTTGAATTCTATGGATTTATAGAATTTAAATAAAAAAAATTTTCATCGACCTTGGTTAAGCGTTGCAGAGATACATTTGCTCAAAGCTTGAGTAAAATCAAAATGCCTG